CATCATCAATCATGGTGCCATCGTTTGCTTGATAGACCTACAAGAATTTTTGAAATGATGTTAGGGTTTAAGTAAGAAAATGAATAAGGGCAGTCTCATAATACTAAATATTCAACCTAACCTATTTGTAAGAAAACAGTACAGCAGTACTCACATTATAATCTCCTTCTGGAAGCTTCAGTTTCCTTTTCATCTCTTCTCTTAATTCCAGCAAATCCCCCGCACAAATAAACACTTTCTGGGAGCGGTCACCGGTTAGTCCCTTCTCAACAAACTTCGCCATGGCTAAAAACAGAAATGTAAAACATGAAACTTCTAGTAAAATGAACATGGTAAACATTACAACTGCCAGGACGTGATAGTTCATCTCTTGCTCTCCTCTAGGGTCATTAAGGTGATGACAAAAGGCCAGGGCAGCAGAGGCCTAGGCTAGGCCAAGGCTAGGCCAAGGCTAGGCCAAGGCTAGGCCAAGGCTAGGCTTCTACTTTACAAGTGTTTCTCACGATTAACATCACGAGAAGTATGATCCTGTCACAGCGGCACTTCGAAAATAAATAAAGAGTAAATTCACGATGAAAGGAACAGCTCCAAATGCAATTAACTCTATGTTAACACATGGAATTGGGACTAGGTGCGAGGTTAGGAGGCCCATGGTACAGGCGTGAATCCCAACATTTGCATGGAAATTGAAGTGACTTACCTCAAATGCAGTTGCGAGATTAAATCCAGAGAAGTTCAGATGAGCACAGATCACACATTCCTGCACAATGGTAACGGGAATCATTTTACTCGAGTATTTGTACAACCGGCAAAAAGTTCAGACGTCACTTTACCGCTAGCACTACCACACCACACGTCCACCACCACCACACTCCGCACCGCACTCCCCCTCTCTTGAACTCGAATCGCTTACAGCTGATCAGCTGATTGGCGAACACAGTACACTACAATTTTTTTAAAGATGTTTGCGTGTGTAGTTAAGCTTGTTTGCTGTTTCAATGTTTCCCTTAGATGTATTTCGGAAATCGGAGCACTTGATCTTTTTTTGTTGCTGTTTCGGCAGTGGTTGGCACCTTCGGTGTTCATATGTTTGGCTCAAACTATAGGTAACGAGG